ATAGATCCAGTGAAGTTGTTTCAGGACACCTTGAGCACTACTCTAGGCTTCACGGTCACACAACACTAGAAAATACGAAGCATCAGACTATTGCCACTCCAATAAGCGGATGGATCCCAAAACAATATTCATAAGTTCATGAAACCTTTGGAATCGGGTTTCCTTCGCCGATGATACCGAACGCTTCCAGCAGGTCTTGATACCCTGACAGGTACTCCGTCCTTGCCAGTATGGAGAAGCCTTGACGAATTTATGCGGATCACCCACGAGAGGCACTTCTCCAACCTATGGACCCCAAACTCTGGGACCGACTATGCCGCAGAGTCGGCGAACGACCATGGATGTTTTGACAGTCATCTAAGGAACGCTAACTGTGGGTGGACGACTCTCCGCCGTCCCGAGTCGAAGAAGGCCCGGCCCGCAACGAGAAGTATATGAAGACGGGAGAACGGGGAACCACCGAATAGTTAAGTCTATTCAGATGGTAACTTGCTTGCTTTTTTTCCCCCTTCCCTTCTCTCACAGGCAGAGAGGTCTTGTCTCTGTTCAACACAAAGGGAATGTACAATATTAATTATGTCGGTCTTATTGCAAGAAGTCCTCGGGCTTTGAGTGTGACAGTCACAAACTTGATTCCTCATGACTCCTGGATGTGACTGACTGACACTGTGATGACTTAGCATCCTTCATGCTCATAGTTAACTATCTAGTCAATCTGTACTGTGCTGACTGCTGACAGACATGGAAATGACTTATGTTAAGCGATGGAAGGGAGGAAAAGGGGCTGAAATGTGCGTCGTAACTATTTTGAGCTGCAGGTGACTTTCTCCTGTCTCAGCGTCAAATACGAAGACCAATGACGCTTCGTGCGCATCATTTAAGTACCTCCATAGATACAGAAAGATGAGGAGAGATAGGTCTACTGAAGATCTCACTGCGCGAAATATAAGTGTACTCTGTGCTGCCAGCATTTTGGCCCTTGCTTCGTCACTGTATCGGCTTGATAGCATATTTATTGCTGGCCATTGCAATCATACCATGAGATCTTGATCGTTCCCTTTTGTAGATACATATTTCAGCATTCCGAGTAAAGTAAGAGCAAGCGTGCAGGTTTATTTGGGAGCTTTGATTTCGGTCAAATTATACCTTATAACTGACCATCTATAAATGCTTAGTCTTACGTAAATCCTGTGCACAAAGATCTGCATGGGCTGAATGACTGGGATGATGTCACTTGGGTTTTGTAAAACAAGAGCAGTCAGTTCAGACCTTGAGAACTTCTGGGGGGCCAAAATTCAAAAGACCGGAAAAGGGGGCGCGAAATAAGACAGATGAATGATTGAATGGACATTTGTCGGCAGTCGCGGCTATTGAAAACTAATGCATCGCAAGACATGAGGCTAAAACTGGACTCTGGAGCCTGGTGAGGCTACCAAGAACCAATTGTACCTTAGTCTGGGTATTAGTACACGGTCTGCTCCACGGCCCACAGAGGAGACTAAACTAGTACTCCGTCTGTCCTACAGTAACCTGTGGGCCAAACTTTGTTAGACTAGATATGGAGTGGGTAGACACTAGGACTAGTCGAGAGTTCCAGTCATCTGGCCAAGGAGAAACTAGTGGAGGGTTTCTAGCAAATCAAATGAGGAATTTCAGCACTATTGATCGCCTGCGAGCGGTCCGTTCAGTAGCTCTGCCACTCTGCTGGGCGACCCTGTTGTTCGATTTTATCCTCATTATTCTGAGGAACAATCGACTTAAGTGCTGTACAGGCCACACAACACCAAGGCTGATTATGAGAGAGGATTGAAATACAAACAATATTTGGTCAGTAGATAAGTCTTACCGCAGTGCGCCATGAGGGGAGAACAAGAGTCCGTCTGTGCTGGAGTCGGAAAAGGGATAAAATAATATATCCAACTGACAATCTTGTGCATACTCCATACACTCCTGAACCTTGAGTTATCTAGCTTTCAGCTTCACCCCACGGAACTTCCGGCCGCCCTGCAGCAGGTCTGCGACTGCAACCAGTAAGAAATTGACTTTTCAATCCGAAGCTGCCGCCTGAATCGCAAACTTCAGCTAGTGACCTTGGCCCGAACGAAGCTAAGAATCCTCGTCCATCAGGCCCTTTGGATCGAACAAAGGGAAGATCTCGGAATCAGATGGCGAGCTGCAACAAACTGAGTTGCTGACGAAGCATTAAGCAACGTTTCAAATAGAGGTACAGGAAACTGAAAGATATGGAGTGGAGCGAAGAAGCACTTATCTACCTACCTACCTTGCCTCCCTGAGTAAACTCCAGATGGATATTGGAGACACTGGGTCGGTCTCATTGATGCAGGCATGAGCCACCGTTTCAGGATCGACATCCAGGTGACGGCTGGAGATCAGTACGTAGTTAATTCAGCGCCATGCCAGTCAGCGTCTTTTGAATAGATTAACGAATATTCCAAGTGTTCAGGTGCCTACCTGCGTGGGTGACGAGGGTATCCCTGTTCTTCCCAATGACACACCTACTGGAATACGAGTATTGTTCTTATTGGGGGACCGATAATAATGGCATCCAGCCAGCCTGACTGGATCACTGGAGGCTCGAATTATCGATTTCATGAAGAACAAGAAGAATCCGTCCCGTTTGGCGTTTCAAATGACAGGCAATTGAGCCGGTCCACTCTGGCGGGTCAGATGATACATATCCACGATTTTTTAAACAGTTTTCGTGGCATAAGTGCGTATCGCGGAAATTGTGACAAATGCCTGGTTGCCTTGTCTTCTAACAAAGGTCATTCGTTCTGAAATTGAAATCAATCAAGAGTCAGGTACTTGGCAAATTCATCCTGTGGACTCGTAAAATTATTTCAAAACAGTGCATACCTACCATTTGTTACTAAAATGCCTTAAGACACATCGACCCAGAATCCCCCGTAAAATAATCATTAGAGAGATCGGAGTCCGCTGGAATAAAGATTCGGGTTCATGATATCTGGGAATGCTAGCCATACCATTAGGTCAATGCATGAGCTATGACAGCGTGACACAATGGTACAGAGTTACAGTGATTTGCCCTGAAGTCCCCGATCGGAATTTCAACATGGTTTCCGCGATTGGGCAATAGGGCCTAAAAAAAATGGTCCTCAAGGCCATCATCAACTATTTATTGACTTCCGGCGGCAACTAAAATTGTCATGTCAAGACTAGATACCGGTGAAGTGGTGACGAGCGGCTGAGGGAAGACGAAAGATCTAGATCACCTAATTACAATAAGCATTTCAATACCATTCGCTCCCAGTCAAGAATAAGGAATACCAGTAGCTTCACCTATGTGCCCAATTTTTAAGAACATGAGTGGAAGGGTGACGTCTTTACTGTGAAATACTTGGCTATCTTATAAATTTCATCATTATTATTCAAGACCAATACTTCCTGGTTGTCACTTCAGCTCACTGGGGCCAACTGGGTGTACCTTACTCATTTCTGTTTCGCAACCAGTGAAATAACCTTGGGCAATCATGTCATCTAATTGGCAGCTTACTAGTACTTAACTAGGGCAATCTTCATTATTAAAGGTATCAACTCAACCTTGGGAATTGGCACATCATGCCTAAGACACTAGATGCTTAGTGGGGGGAGGGTCCCGCAATTGTATAGAAGGCTACTCCGTACCTCCCAATGTCCATCATGACCAAATAAAAAATAAATATGAATTGACAACAATAATAATAATTACTAAGGCACCAATCATTCTGTGGCCTGTGAAGTAGTACTACTAGTATTTTCCTTGAGTTTATATTCCTTATTAATGTTCATTTTGCTAAATTATGCATGGTTTTGAAGGTTGGGAATTCTCCAATTCCCACAGTACTCTCTTCAAGCTTATTGTTTTTCCGCCCAATCCTTGTGTTCATTTCCATTTTCTTTGCTTCCGCTATATTAATGCTTGTATTTTTATTTTATTTGTATTTTTATAATTTTATTTTATTTTATTATTTTATTTATTTAATTTAATTTTATTTTTTGTATTCTATCTTCTTTTTTAATTTAATTTTAAACTTTTTTGCCCTTCCTCTCTACCTATTTTGGTAATTATATATGCAGGTTCACTCATACAAACGTACATACTACTGTACTCTAAGTAGGTAAGTGTCATCCTTTAGGTTAATCTCCTTAATGCTTTGTGTTGTGTCTCTTCTGATTGTGGTCTATAAGCCTTCAGCTAACTAAATTAGCAAGCTAGATCCTTGTCACTGACCACCCCCACTGCTTCCACTGTTCTGGGACACAGGGAAGAACAATTCAGTTATGAGGATCATGTAGGTATATGTAGTTCTAGATCACCACCACACGCACCCCCAAGAGGGGGGCGGAAACAAATGTACTGACTGGTCACTATTCACCGGCCAATATAAAAGAGATCTCACACTGAGTTGGATAAGCAAAAAAGACACTTAAAGTGGACAGTCGCTGATAACCTCGATCTCCTTCTTATTCAATTACCCCATATCTTTCAATTTCTCATTGTTCACATTGTCATATATTGATTTGCCTTTGCTCAGTCTTCCCACTCTCACTACCCAGGAAGGCCAGGTCTTGCCAGTGCACCAGTACACAAATACCTGCAGTCTCTATTGTGGGTACTTTGACCATCCAACTTATGACATTGCCTTGCTTACCTTCAAAGGCTCGTTCCTAAGATCTTCTGCGTCTCTGACCTATCTCATCCACACGAGTATACTGGTATCTCTTTGCTTTTCTGGAAGCTGGCATTGGGGGATCGAAAACTACCTTACCGAAGACCTGGCACAGCAATTTAAACCTCAAAAGCCTTCGAGAGCCCAACTGTGCCTCCTCACGTAGTAGGGGCTGTCGAGGAGACCTCTATGGGATTTTTGGATCCTCGCCGTCCTTCTGCCAAGAGAAACCGAGAGAGATAGATTTTGGAATCCAGAGGGTCGGGGGTCCCACGACATCTAAGGTTATCTCACCTTGCTCGCGACACAATGGAAACAGCAGAACCAGTTTCATACGAGTTCACCGGCCATACAATGGGTTCAATGGCTCCTCGTCGGTTACTGCACGCGGGCCTTGGGTCAAACTTCTCTTATTACAATAACCCGACTTCCTCCTTTCCTTTGCCCTATCACCAATCGTCTTCCGCGCCGTATGGTTTCAGTCATACGATAAACCAGCACCCTCATCAACTCCCGGGCTATCAACACTTCTATCTTACCGGTCACCCATCGCTCAGTTCGCAGCCAGTACGTCTCTCGTCTGAACCGCCAACCGTTCAACAGATTCCCGACATCCGCCCCGCGAAGAACGCCATCAGTCGCACTGTGAGAAAGCCATTAGCAAAGTTGGAACAGAGCGTATCATCGCAACCTGTTGCAGCGGCTCAACTGCCTGCCACTGGGGATACCCAGGAGAAGGGCCCTGGCTCGGCTGAGATTGAGTTCTCAACTGAGGTAGACATCCTTATGAAAGCTATTCAAGCAAAAGCTGTCCCCCAACAGTCGGCTCTACAGTCGTTACCGCCGCTCCAACAGTTGACACACAGCGGTGAGAATGGCTTCTCTCAGACCTTTGCCATGGCCTCGTCGACTTCGCGATGCAACATGGCGGTTGAGGAGCTCGCTTCCCGGCCGGGAAAGAAACGCAAATACATATGCCGAATTCCCAACTGTGGGAAGAGCTTTGCCCAGAAGACTCATTTGGATATCCACATGAGGGCCCACACAGGGGATAAGCCCTTTGTAAGTGCTCCCAACAATACTCTCGGAACCTCTCTTTCTGACATTGCGTTTGGTCGTAAGGTATGCAAAGAGCCTTCGTGCGGACAGCGTTTCTCCCAACTGGGCAATCTCAAGGTAACGCACCGAGAGAACCCCCATGCCAATGAAGAAGAAATCGCATCCTGACATATAATGCTCATAACTAGACACACCAACGACGCCATACGGGCGAAAAGCCCTTCTCATGTGATATCTGCCAGAAGCGATTCGCCCAAAGAGGCAATGTTCGTGCCCACAAGATCACTCACCAACATGCTAAGCCCTTCACTTGTCTACTCGATGACTGTGGGAAACAGTTCACTCAGCTGGGTAACCTCAAGGTATAGTGTCTCAAGAAACACGTGGCTCTCTTCCTAGAGACTTTCCGAGCTAACGGATTGAACAGTCGCACCAAAACAAGTTCCACGCCGCTACGCTAAGGACCTTGACTCTCAAGTTTTCTCAAATGTCCGAGGCACATCTCATGAACCCCCAGGATCGCCAGCTTTGGGAATACTTTGCCACCCTCTATAAAAACAGCAACAAAGGCATCAAGGGTCGTGGCAAGGATCGGAGGATCTCCCCCACGTCCAAGTCCAATGACGGTTCTGCTGCGTGCACGCGAATGCAATCTTTCGAAAGTGATGAGGACGTCAAGGTGTCACGCGGCAGTCGTGAAGCCTCGTCTGCCTATACTGGCAGCTCCAGCGGAGAAGAAGAAGACCCCGAAACCTATTACACCGATAGAAGAGGTCATTGACCAGTGTTATTCCAGTCATTCAGCTTCGCGTTCATTTTGTGCCCCTTGGGCTTTCTTTTTATTTCTTTTCTTTTTCTTTGAGATACCAAGTTTTGTCTGTCTTGGACTTGCGCTTCGTCCGCTCAGTTTATTGATGTACTTCTTACCTTCATTTGCTTTCAGGCTCATATGTTTTCTGGAGTTTGCGGGTGATAGTGTGATACGGGGTTTCTCGAGGGTTAGCATCAGAGGACAGCGCTGGGTTGCACGAAGGAGAGCGTCAATCTTGTACAAAAACCAACATCAGCAGACATGTTTCAGTATATAGGCTCACTTGTGGCTCGATCTACTAATTGTTGCCAATTGGCTGACACGAATTGAAGCATCAAGCTTAGGTGGACAATAGTCCCCAGACGGAGTTTTCGCTCTCATGGCTATGTCCATTGCTTAGATTATCTCTGCAAAGAGTCCCACCTGCCAGAACCCGAAGAACTGTGCTAACAATATGGGCTTTGCCAAGTGAATAACGGCCTCTACCGACGCGATGTTAAACTAGACATGACTTGGTATTCTCATATACCAGAAAGGTTACCCATGTGCTTGGTAGCACGCGGAGGAGGTTCGGGCCCAAGCCCTTGTAGAAACCAGCAAAACCTTCTTGAGCCCAAATCTGCGCCATTGCATCACCAACACCACGATACACAAGGTGGGCGTCATATGTCTGCAAACGAGATCTCAGCACTTGGTATGGATAGGTGACACAGCCTGCGAAGATCTTTGAAAGGCTTGAGGTGAGAAAGAAGTCGAAGTTCCCCAATTGCCGTGCTGGTGTCGCCCCTGAGCCTATGCTATCGCCACTGGTACGCGATGCCGAATTCATCCTTGTACGATACGCTTTCAACTTCTCATACGCCATGAACTGAAAAGCTCCATGACTGACTCCGAATAAAGCGGGTAAAAGGCCCCGATAGAAGCCAGGGATACCCTCTGAGCGATAGATCTGTGCTACGCCGGTGGTGAAAGACGCATAGGCTCCGGGGGTGTTGGAACCGGTGGATAACATACGGGTTTTGATAACCCATATAGGATTCGTCAAAACTGATGTGGCAAGACCTAAAAAATATAATGCAATTAGCAAATGTGATTTCGTGAGCATTGGAGTCTAATGAAACGCAGATGGGCCAGAGATCGTACCTGCCAGTCCTGACGCAACAAAGTAGTCAGTCGAGGTGAGCTCCAGCACTCGAGAGCCGCGCAGCCTCCGCATCAGATCTTTGGTCTTCCCATAGCAAAGAAAGTACAGCCCCCAGCTTGTGGAATTGCCGATGATGTTTGGTGTTAACCCTCGGTAGAATGCGGTGATTCCGCCCTCACGGCGTGCAATATCACGGATGACACGGAGCGATCCACCAAGTTGAGAAGGCGAGGATCGGTCGACTAAGTCTCATTTTGCGCATGTGTAAGCTCCATGAAGATGTCTTCCCACCTACTCGGAAAGTAGTATACGCATCGAGTCACGTACCCTGTAGCCTTGTCTTTAATAAATCTAGCGGATGGAGGCAGAGCGTAGAGACTATTCCCGCTGTAAATCCTGCTATGGTCTCCACAAAGGATGACGACAGGCCATCCTTAATAGTCATGAAACTCGTGTGTGATTCTTCGGAATCTTTTGGGAGCGCGTGAACGGACTTTCGGGAGAGCCAATTTTTGAAACGGCGTGCATGAAAGTTTGCGCAAACTTGCGGGTCTGCTTTTCTTGCTTCTCGGCAATAAGCGTAGCAATCCGGTGAGGCGGTTTAACTCCGCGCAATTGTTCAGGTTGAGGTGATGGCCGCTAAATGACATCCTACAGGTGAGCGAAGGGCAGAACGATTCGACAAACCTATATACACATACGAATCTTTCTCGATAAATGAACCGCATTCCTGCGAGGATGAGCCCATTTGCCGCGAGATATTGGTTTGGCCAAATGAATGTTAGGACGGCATTGCATTTCTCGAAGAAATTCATCAGTCTATTAAAAGTCCAGAACAGTTCGCAAACATTAAACAATTTAGAATACATGAGTGTCAATGTGATCTCCAAAACATCGACATGAAGTATGAAAGACGGCTCGAGATCTCCAAAACATCGACATGAAGTATGAAAGAGGGCTCGAGATCTTCATTACCTCCTCTTAGCCTTTGTGTCCGGGAGAGAGTCAGGTGCCGAGGATGATAATGAGAATGCGACTCCAGTCTGAAAACCAATTTTCATAATTCCCGATTCCTGTCATCGTCTTCTTTAAGCGAGGGGCGAAAACAACCTGTCGGGAGAATCAGCTGCCTGGGATCGAACGAGTAAGATTTCGCTGAGGTATTACTTGAAGAGCGAGGGTCTGGGTTCGCTGTATGTGTAGCCTGTTTCTCGTCGTCAGTATTTCTGATATGATTAAGATCTGGGGGCGAGTTGCATACCCAGATAGATGATCAGAGGCAGATAGCCACTGTGTAAAAAGGACCGTCAATACCGTAGCCAGAAAGAAAAAACCTGGGCAAAAGGGGGTATTACTAGTGGATAGCGACTCTGGAGACGTCAATGACCTTGGAGATTCGCTCCTGGATATCAAAACGTCTGGTTAGCAGGGGACATATAGGCGAAGAACATTTCCATTGACGGAAGATCCAACCTTAGTCTCCTCGGAAAACTGAACCATTTCGGCGAATGAACGGGAAATAAATATATCAATACTCAGACTTTGGAGTCAGGAAAGGCGAGCAGAGACAGCGCAGGAAGTTATGGTATGCGGAGTGCTTGGGCGGAGTTAGAGACGAGCAAGTGAAGCTCAAGAGTTTTCCGGGAACTTTCAATACAAAAAAAGCTACCCCCCAAAGTCCGCAAGATACCCGTTCTTGCAAACCACATCCAACACGTCCCGCGCTCGTTCTGGACTTACAACCATTGTCACGTCTGACACACATCAATTTTGTCCAGACTGTTGTCTATCTTCCACTATCCCTCAACGAGAATTTGATTCCAAGACAAAAGTCAGATACCTTAAATTGAGAGTCGGCAACATGTCCGGCGCGAGGCATTGGTGAGTAAGCGCTTTTTACTTACGACACAACGCTACCAAAAAGATTGACCAGAAGGTTCTCAAATTTCTAGGGAGCAAGATAAGGAGGCCACCGTTTACATTGGTAATCTCGATGAGCGTGTTACCGATAGCCTGGTATGGGAGCTGATGCTGCAGGCTGGGCGCATCGTTAATGTTCACCTTCCCAAAGATCGAGTGACGCAGTCACACCAGGGTTACGGCTTTGTTGAATTCATAAGCGAGGAGGATGCTGAATATGCTTCGCGAATAATGAACGGGATTCGGCTTTATGGGAAACCAATACGAGTCAACAAGGCATCTGCCGATAAACAAAAAGCCGTGGAAATCGGAGCAGAGCTCTTCGTTGGAAACCTTGATCCTTTGGTCACGGAGCAGGTCCTCTATGACACGTTCAGTCGCTTCGGAACGCTCGTCAATATTCCAAAGGTAAGGCTACGATAAATCCCACCTAATAAAGGATTTGTCCTCTTCTGCGACAAGCTAACAAACTGTAGGTTGCACGCGATGATAACAACCTTTCCAAGGGCTATGGATTCGTATCATTTGCCGACTTCGAGTCCTCAGATGCTGCTATCGCCAACATGAACGGGCAATATCTAATGAACAAACAAGTTTCCGTGCAGTACGCCTATAAAAAAGACGGCAAAGGCGAACGGCATGGTGATCAGGCAGAACGAATGCTGGCTGCGCAGGCTCGCAAGCATAATGTTCGTCCGCCAACGCAGCCGCTTCCTCCGCAATTCACCAACCCAGGCACTCCTATGGCGGCCGCTGGGATGGCTAATGGAGACGGCACACAAGCGTTGAGCGCCGCTCCACCGGAATTAGCGACGGGAAGAGGCGTACCGCCGCCTAACTTGGGCTTTCAGAACGCACCTCCGCCACAAGCTAATCGACAACTCCCTCCTATTGCTCCCTTGGCAAACCCACCTCCCGGTTTACCAGCAAGACCTCCGCCCTCGCAAGCTGGTTACGGTGGCCCCCAGACGTTTCTCCCCCCTGCTTTCAATACTGCTGGTCAACAGCCACCCTTCACACAGCAAGCAGCACCGCCGCCGGGGTTCGCGCCACCGGGTTTCGGTCCTCCATCAGGAACCCCCAACCCTCCACCATTACCACCGGGCTTCCAGCAACCTGGTTATGGCGGCGGCCGCTGAGCTTTGGGTCGGTTGCATTCGCCTTTTAAACGTGCATTGATGCAGAAATATATCTCATGCATCACTTTTGACGAAAATGGTCTTTTCCCAGAGTTTCGCCGCGTTACGAGCCGAAGAGAGCATGTAGTTCAGGTGATTCCCTAACTATGGTATTAAAGCACACCACTACATGGCAGATCATCTGTTCTCCAGGAACACTATTGACCTAACTAATCCGTTGGTAATGAGATAAAAGTTTGGGTGGAAATTACATGATTGATCAGGGCTTATATATTCCTTCCATTAGGTAGTCTTGCTGTCAGGCAGCACGTTATTACCCAAAGTGGTATCATTCACCGATGGGTATATATTGCGATTGTGCTTGATTCACGTGAGACTTGGCAAGTGAACCGGTCTTGGCATCTAGCTATACAGACCAAACTACGAAAATGGCCAGCATGTTCTGATTACGATAGAAGAAGTGTCATTCCATAGCATCAAATAATTCCTTCATAGCTGTTTCCTTCTGCGTGTTCGCAAAATTGGAAGGAGAATAAGGACAAGCACGATGAACGTAAGGAAATGAGAGAAAGGGCAAAAGAAAGCTGGGTCAGCGAAGAAGAGCAACTGGTGCTTCGAAGGCAGATTTCCAAATGAGAGCACAAACGATAGGCGACAGGAACAGCGTATAGAGAATTAGAAATTGGAGCAGGAGTAGTGGTTAAGAGAATGACACGAACTTGGGGTCCCTTGGCCGACCGTCGGGACCGATATTGTGGGTAGCAAAC